CCCTCCCTAACTCCCCACCTACACTCACCTTTACTGGCTCCATCCCCTCCTCTTCGACCTGTTTGTTTCCTCTCCACCTATCCTCTCCTCTATCCATCTTCTATCTGCCTCCCAATTTATTTCAGAACCCCCTTCCCCTCCCCCTTTTCTGATGAAGGGTCTAGGCCCGAAACGTCAGCCTTTCTGCTCCTATGATGCTGCTTGGCCTGCTGTGTTCATCCAGCTCTGCACTTTGTTGTCTCTTTCAGTGCCAGTGCTGACTTTACTAATTGCTTGTGGCTCCTCCAGTCACAGACTGTTTCTTTCCTGTGTTTGGTACTGCGCACTTACAAATGTGCCTATTAGCTGCAGGTTTAGGGGAGACTTAGCCTGTGATTGGAGAAGTAGCATCTTATCATTCCCTTCCATTCTCTTTATGGGATGACTTTTCTACTGGTGGTCCCCATGAGTGAACGTTCATAGGCCATGTTCAGGGGTGGATCTGCCCATGGACCCCATGTATTTTGAGCTTTCTAAGATAGCAAACAGTGAGCTGATAGGTAATCTAGAAAGTTATGAGATTAAATTCTTTAAGGAAGTTATGAAGCTTGAAAGGTTTCAGAAAAGATTTACAAGGAAGTTGTTGGGAATGGAGGGTTTGAGCCATAGAGAGAGGCTGAATAGGCTGGGGTTATTTTCCCTGGAGCATCAGAGACCGAGGGGTGACGTTAAGGTTTATAAAATCATTAAGGGCATGGATAGGCTGAATAGCCAAGGTCTTTTCTCCAGGGTGGGGGAATCCAGAACTAGAGGGCATAGGTTTAAGGTGAGAGGGGAATGATTTAGAAGAATCCTAAGGAGCTACTTTCTTGCGCAGAGGGTGGTGTGTGTATGGAATAAGCTGCCAGAGGAAGTGGGTGGAGGTGGGTGCAATTACAAAATTTAAAAGGCATCTGGATGGGTACGTGAATAGGAAGAGCCTAGAGGGATATGGGGCAAATGATAGCAAATAGGATTAGGTTTATTTAGGATATCTGGTCAGCATGGACAAGTTGGACTGAAGGGTCTGTTTCCGTGCTGTACAACTCAATGACGTTACAATTAGACCCTGCAGTACACAAATTTCTACTGAAATTGTCGAGATGGATTATCTAAAACACAGAATGCCCTTCCCCAGCTATAATTATCTTTTAAATGGTGGTATTGAATAGATGTTCAACTTGCTGGAACTAAATTCAATGCATGAACAGAGGTGCAAGTTACTCTATCCAAATGCATGATTTACATGCTATACTAAGTTACATAGGTAGTAGCTTGCCAGCATAAAACAGGGATCATCGAGAAAATGAAAGATGCAGGTGAAGGGCCAGAGAAAGCAAATAGTCTGAGCAAACCAGGATAGGTGTGTGTGTGTGAGCATATATGCATACTGTGGTGGCAGCTTCTGGACAGAATTTTAGCAGTTTCTACAGTCTATTTTGTTAAACTAATTCACAGCTTGGTTTAGGTTCTTGTATGCAGATCCAAATGTACATCTAACGCACCTACTTTATGCTGATTTTTAGAAAAAATGTCTTTTTGAAATTACTAATCCTTACATGATATCTTTTGATTATTGCAGGCTTTCTGTGGTGCCTTGAGTGACGGCTCAGAGTATGAGACCTCCAAAATGAAACCCTCCACATCAGCAAATACCATCTACTCTCTTGCTTCACGGTACATAAAGTTCTGCATTGTGGATGTTGCATTGAGCGTCAGTGACAGTTTGCATTATCTGCAATAGTGTGTATAAGGAAGTGAATAGCTTTACTTGTATGCAACAATGCACCAATGACCTGTTGCATGAAGCAATCACTGTTTTCCTTTACATGACTTACAATGTCATTATTAAGTGAGACAGCAATGTCAGTTCTGGTATTTTTCTCTGGTATTGTAGGGAGTGAGGGATTAGCAAATTTACTCTGTGCTTTAGGTACATACAGTTCAAGGGTACTGGCAATCCTACTCGAGTGGTCATTATTAATGAATAGAACATGGATAGGTTTTAATTGGGAGCCGGGGACACCCACTGGAAACTCATTCTATTCCTTGCCAAATATCCACATCCATATTTTCAATTATAGTAATTTTCAAATTATAGTAATTATAGTAATAGTGGTTAAAAATTGGATCTGTCATTTTCCACCATCAAAAGTTTGTCCTTTTTAAATTTAAGATTTGCTTTAAACATTGTCTTTTTTCAAAAAGTCAAGTATTCTGATCATAACCCTTCAGCTGGAGGTTGTGACACACCGAGCTTGATGTGACCAATTTCTTTCAAAGATGAATGTCTCCAAGTACACTGTCTAAATTATAAAGATAATTCTGCTCTGCTAGAAAAGGCACTATACTAACTTTAAAATTTCTATGCTGCTGCCTGTACCTTGTCTGTCCACTAATAGAAGTGGAATACAGGGAGCCTCAAATGCACACAGCCCCAAGGTAAGATCGTATTCGATTATTTTAAACTTCAAGGCTGTAAGTTAGGCACCATCGTTTGGCACATGCCAGGTCAGTTGACTGAAGTTATGTAGTAACTAGCAGTAACTGTTGAAATAATCAGCAAGTTACCTACAAAAAAAACCAAAGAACTGCAACCAGATGCTGGATATCAGAAGCAAAAATAGAAATTTTTGGAACAACTAAGCAGGTCTGGCAGCGTTTGCGGAGAGTCAACAGAGTTAATGTTTTGAGTCCAGTGACCCTTATTCCAGGATTTCTTCAGCAACTTCTGTTTTTGTAACAAGTTACCTATTGTTGTTTGGTAACACAGAACTTGAATATTGCTGAAACAAGACACATTTTGCGGAAATTTTAATCTTTCACTCATCAAGATGATTTGTAAGAAATACTAAAGTAGAGGGAAAACAACATTTATACTGTTTAAGAGGGGAATGCTGATTAGTTGGCAAATGGATTCTGATTCGTGGATAGATTGCCATGGAGAAAGTGGGAGGAAGTAATACCTGTTTATCACCTGTTTATTAGTCTGTCTGTCTCAAAGTAATGGACAGATTTTAAGACTGCTTAGTACACGTTGTATGGCTCAAGGAAAACTTAGTTTTCTTAGTTTTTGACAAAGATTCTGGAATTTTTCAAAGGAACTGTTATCATTGTGAGATGGGATAAATTGACTTATTTTGTAGATTGTTTTGTTTAACATACAGTTGATTGTTTTAGGACATTTTGGATTGTCTTAGCTGTGTGATGCAATTTGTCACAGCTGAAAATTGTAACCTGAGTTTTCAGAGCAGGTTATTGGCTTAAAAACATATCTTTTTTTCATCAACCCGGTCGGGGAAGAAAACCTCGAAGTTATGTAATTGTAGTAGCAGTGTGGTAGGGGTTTCCACTTGATTATTTTAATAACAACAGTTTTGATAGAGCCTAAAGCACAGCTATTTAGACAAAATGTTATATTGTAGTTTTAAAGTGGGGAAAAAAATTGCTGGAAATATGCAGGAAATCCTTCAGAATCTGTAATGAGAAATGTTTTCAATGTAACATCTTTCCTGGGGGGTGCATTGACTAATGGACCTAGTTTTGGAAGTACCACAGAGGGCCAACGAGAGAAGGTGGGGAACTGGGGGGAAAAAAGTGAGGGAAGTCTTGAGTGTTGACAGTGAACAAATAAATGGTCGCCTTCCAATGGAAAAGAAAGAGGTAACATCAGGGTTAAATTGTATGTATGTAAATGCATGGAGTATCACAAACAAGATTGGGGAATTGGTGTAGGAGGATATGATATTGTAGCATTGATAGAAACATAGCTCGAGCCAGAACCAGAATGATACTTAACATGCATAAGGTTTTTAGCAGAAAGAGGGTGTGTAAAACGGGAGGAAGTAAAGTAGTTTTGGTCAAAGATGGTATCATTGCCCTTGAACAAAATGTACTTCTTGAATTAGAATCTATATGGTTGGAAGTATGAAACAGGGAGGAGTAGTAACCTTGTTAGGGATTTATTATAGATTTCCAAGTACTGGGGAGGAAGGAGAAGAGAACATTTGTAGGCAGATTATGAAAATCTGCAAGACAAATAGGGTTTTTTAATTCTATAGCAAGATGAGGGCATCGCTGACTAGGCCAGTATTTATTGCCCATCCCAGGGGGCAGTTAAGAGTCAACCACATTGGTGTGGGTCTGGAGTCACACGTAAGCCAGACCAAGTAAGGATGCCAGTTTCCTTAGTGAACCAGATGGGTTTTTCCAACAATTAACAATGGATTCATGGTCATTAGATTCTTAATTCTAGATTTTTTTCTTTAAGTGAATTCGAATTCCACCATCTGCTCTGGTAGGAATTCAACGTAAGTCCGTAGAACACTGTGGGTCTCTGGATATATAGTCCTGTGATGATAATACTAGACCATTGCCTCTCCTGCAATGTAGATAGTTGTGATAGCTGGTAACTTCAATTGTCCTAGGGTTCACTGGGAAAAATGTAGAGTGTGAGGTACTGAAAGGGAGAAATTCTTGCAGTGTGTGGAGGAGAACCTTCTAGAACAGTACATTTCCAGTCCTACCAGCGAGGGAGCTGTGCGCATTCTGGTCTTAGGAAATGTGGCAGGCCCAAGTAAGAATTTCAGATTGAGGGAGCATTTGGGAAATAACAATCATAATAAGGTTCAATGTTAAGTTGAAAAAAGATAACAATCAGTCAATGACTAAGATCCCAGACTGGAAGAGGGCAGAGTTTAAGGGTCTAAAAGTTGAACTGGAGCAGGTTGGAAATGCGTTTTGCTGGATAAAACAGAATGAGAAATGAGAATTCCAAAAGAAAGATGAATAGGGTGTAAGCCAGGTATATACACATGAGAAATAAATACGGGTATCAAAAGCTAGATTACCCTGAATAACTAAGAATGTTAATGAGAAATTAAGGAAGGAAAAGGGAGACTCATGATGCATACTGGAATAATAACAGCAATAGAAATCAGGAAGAGTATCTCCAATGCAGGAGAGAGGCTAAGGCTGGAATAGGGGAGACTAAGAAGCAGCAAGAGGAAAGGATGGCAGGCTGTGCTAAGACAAGTAGTAACATCATCTTCAAACATATTAGTAAAAGATTAGTGAAGGATAGAGTGAGGCCCATAAATGACAAGCAGGGGAAGCTGCTTACTGAAGCAAAGGGATGGAAGGGGTACTAAATGAGTACTTTGCTTCTATCTTTATCAAATTAGAAAATTGTGACAAGTGCTGAATTGAAAATGTGGGTGTTGAGCAACTGAGCAGTACAGTGATCGACAAAGAGGTGCTAAAAAGGCTAGCAGCACTCCAGGTAGCAAAGTCACCAGGCCGAGATGGGATGCATCCAACATTGCTGAGAGAGATAAGGGAGCAAATTGTGGCACCATTGACAGAAATTTTCTAGACCTCTCTGAACACAAGATGAATCCTGGGGGACTGGACGTTTGTAAGTGTGACACCATTGTTTAAGAAAGGGGCAAAGGATAATCCAGGAAACTACTGACCTGTCAGCTTGTCATCAGTAGTTGGAAAACATGATAGAGGCCATAATGTAGGATAAGGTAATTTGTACTTTTAGGGAGATGTAAGTTAATACTAGGCAGTCAACATGGCTTTGTCAAGGACAGGTCATGTCTAACAAATTTAATTGAGTTCTTTGATGAGGTGACACAGGCAGTGGATGAAACGTTTGATGTGATGCCACATGGCAGATTAGTTAGCAAATTAGAATTGTTTAGGATTGTTAGGTCCTTAGTAGTATGGATTAGAAGTTGGCTAAAAGATAGGAAACAGAGGGTAGGTATAGATGAGCATTTCTCAGACTGGAGATGAGTTGAAAGTGGTGTTCCCCAGGGATTGTGTTGGGAAACTTGCTTTTTCTAATGTTTTTAAATGATTTGGAGATGGGTGTTGAGGGCAAAATCTGGAAATTTGCAGATGATCCTAAGGTAGGGTGAATAGTGAATTGTGAGGATGATGCTGAGCGACTTCAGAGGGTCATTGACAAGTTGACCAAGTGGGCAGACATCTGACACATGAATCTCAGTGCAGAGAAATGTGAGGTAATGCACATTGGTAGAAGAAACATGGAGAGACAATACAGGCTCAATGGTCCAACTTCGAGGGGAGTGCAGGATTAGAGAGACCTCTGGCCTATATGCATAATTCTCTTCAGGTGACCAGGCAAGTTGAAACATTGCTTATAGGATCCTTGGTTTTATAAATAGAGGCATAAAGTGTAAAAGCAAGGGAAGTGATGCTACACCTCTACAAATCATTGGTCAGACCATATCGTGTTCCATAACGGCAGCTGATTGAAGGAAGGATGTTAAAGCCCTGGAGAGAGTTCAAAAGAGATTTACTAGAGTCAGAGTCAGAGATGTACAGCACTAAACAGACCGTTTAGTCCAACTTGTTCATGTCGACCAGATAGTCTAAATCAATCTAGTCCCATTTGCCAGCATTTGGTCCATGTACCTCTAAACCCTTTTTCATGTAACCATCCAGATGCCTTTTAAATGTAATTGTACCAGTCTCCTCCACAACCTCTGGCAGCTCATTCCATAAGCGTGAAAAAGTTTCCCCATGGGTCCCTTTTTAAATCTTTCCCCTCTTCCCTTAAATGTATGCCGTCTAGGTCCGCCTTACCCTGTGGGAAAGACCTTGGCTTTTACCCTCTCCATGCTCATTATTTTATAAACCCCAATAGCATCACCACTGAGCCTTTGACACTCCAGTGAAAATAGCCGCATCCTATTTACCCTTTCTCAATAGCTCAAACCCTCCAACCCCAGCAACATTCTTGGAAATCTTTTCTGAACCCCTTTAAGTTTAATCACATCTTTCTTATAGCAGGGAGACCAGAATTGAATGCAGTATTCCAATAGTAGCCTAACCAATGCTGCCCTGTACAGCTGCAATACGACATCCCAACTCCTACACTCAATGCACTGACCAATAAAAGTAAACTTACCAAACAGGGTCGTCTTCACTATCCTGACAACATGTAACTCCACCTTCAAGGAACTATGAACCTGGACCCCAAGGTTTCTTTGTTCGGCAACACTCCCCAGGACCCTACCATTCTGATGTCCTGATTTGCCTTACCAAAATGCAGCACCTTGCATTTATCTAAATTAAATTTTATCTGCCACTCCTCAACCCATTTGCCCATCTGATCAATGTCCGATTGTACACTGAGGTAACCTTCTTCACTGTCCACTACACCACCAATTTTGGTGTCATCTATAAATGTACTAACCATACCTTCTATATTCACATCCAAATCATTTACATAAATGACAAAAAGCAGTGTACCCAGCACCAATCTTTGCAGCACACTGCTAGTCACAGGTCTCCAGTCTGAAAAGCAACCTTCCACTGACACCACCCTCTGTCTCCTACCTTTGAACCAATTTTGTATCCAAATGGCTAGCTCGCCCTGTATTCCATATGATCTAAATTTGCTAACCAGTCTACCTTGTTGAGCGCCTTGCCGAAGTCCAGGTAGACAAATAGAATAATAGGGTTCAAGGGAAGATTAGAGAAATTGGGCTTATTCAAAATTGGGCTTATTCTCCTTGGAGCAGAGAAATTTAAGAGATGACCTTTATTGAGGCGTTTAAAGTTATGAACAACTTTCACAGGCTAAAGGATATTCAGTTTCACTAGCTGGTATGTCAGTAACTAAGGGTCACAATTTCAAGATTGTCAGCTAGGAGTGAAATGAGGAGAAACCTCTTTAGGCTAAGTGGATTGGTCATGCTATATTGCCCATAGTGTCCAGGGATGTGCAGGCTAGGTTGATTAGCAATGGCAAATGCAGGGTTACAGGGATAGGTTGGGGGGGCAGGATTTGGTCTGGGTTGGATGCTCTTTGGGTAGGTGATGTGGACTTGATGGGCCAAATTGCCTGCTTCCAGACTCTAGGGATTCTATGCTTCTTTACTCGGAGAGTTGTTAGGATTTGGAATGCACTGCCTGGGAGAGTGGTGGAGGTGGGTTCCATACGAGGTTCCAAAAGACAGCTGGATATAAATTTGCAAGTGATGAACTTAGGGGATTTTGGAGATAGGGCTGGAGAATGGGACTAGCTGGGTAAGTCTTTTTGGGAGCTAGTACAGACACAATGGGTTGATTTCTGTACTTCAGAATTCCACGATTCCATTCTGTGATCTGTGGCATGTTGTACTTGCCTTCAGGCTTGATACACTTGTATAGATATATCTTCAGTTTATATTTATGGTTGGAGAGTTTTTAAAATGACGTTACTGGAAAAAATATCGCTGAGAAGCATTGATACCCAAACTGTAAAATGCAACTTAATTTAGATAAGCAACACTTGTGCATATGAGTACTCTATTTCTGCTTCATTAAGATGTGTGATCGTAGTGCATCAATTTGGGTTCGTGTTCATTGCTTCCCACGTAGTGAGATTCTGATCACGAATAGTAATTAGGAGAAGCCAATGATAACGAGCCACATGTCATGAAGAGGCGAAAGATAGAAACATAGAATCCCTACAGTGTGGAAACAGGCCCTTCGGCCCAACAAGTCCACACCTACCCTCTGAGCATCCCACTCAGACTCATTCCCCTATAACCCACATAATCTACGCATCCCTGAACACTACAGGCAATTTAGCATGGCCAATCCACCTAGCCTGCACATCTTTGGACTGTAGGAGGAAACCGGAGCACCCGGAGGAAACCCACGCAGACATGGGGAGAATGTGCAAACTCCACGCAGACAGTCGCCTGGAATTGAACCCGGGTCCCTGGCGCTGTGAGGTAGCAGTGTTAACCACTGAATCACCGTGCCGTTCAATAGATCCCTCAAAGTTGCCACCCAAGTTGATAGGGTTGTTAAGAAGACTTATGGTGTGTTGGCTTTCATTGGCAGGGGAATTGAGTTTGAGCCGCGAGGTTATGCTGCAGCTCTATAAAACCCTGCTTAGACCACACTTGGAATATTGTGTTCAGTTCTGATCACCTCATTATAGGAAGGATGTGGAAGCTTTAGAGAGGGTGCAGAGGCGATTTACCAGGATGCTGCCTGGACTGGAGGCCAGGTCTTATGACGAAAAGGTTGAGGGAGCTAGGGCTTTTTTCATTGAAGTGAAGGAGGATGAGAGGTGACTTGATAGCGGTGTACAAGATGATGAGAAGCATAGATAGAGTGGATACCCAGAGACTTTTTCCAAGGGCGGAAATGACTATTACGAGGGGCATAATTTTGAGATGATTTGGAGGAAGGTATAAGGGAGATGTCAGAGGTAGGCTCTTTAGATAGAGAGTGGTGGGTGCATGGAATGTGCTGCCAGCGGTGGTAGTGGAGTCAGATACATTAGGGACATTTAATCGACTCTTAGATAGGCACATGGATGATAGTAAAATGTAGGGTATGCAGGGTAGTTGGTCTTAGAGTAGGATGATAGGTTGGCACAGCATTGTGGGCAGAAGGGCCTGTACTGTGTGTACTGTTCTATGTTTCTATGTTCGAAAACGATCTGGCGGTTAGTTGTACCCTAGTAGCTTTCAGGCATCTCATTGCTGAGCGTTGTTCAGTGGTATTGGCAGAGATCTGAAAGTGAGGTAGCCTTCTATCCATGATCTAATCTTGTGTTAGAGGGGAGAAAGCTATAACTTAAAGCTAACTTTTGGAAAGTTAATAGAGACAGTGGTGGAATGGTCAATCAATTTCATCTCTTCCATAATAAATTAAGTCATTTACTGCAGTGAATCCTGTACTGAACTTTCTACAGCATGAATTCAGTTGAGTCACAAATATTTTGGCACGGAACAGCTTTCTATGAAGTTGTTCTATTTGTGTTTTCTGGATAATTGAACCCCTGGTCATTGTTTAAGCAGACAACTGGAATCATGGTATTTTATTAATTAATTTCTCTGGAATAGAAGTCATTTCTCCAAATTAAGCCTTCATGTTCTAATGAAATAGAGCTTTCACATCTTGCATCTAACATTAAATAATTGTTACCATTGGGTGCTGCTTGTATGTAACGGCACTATTTGTGGCAGAGTTTACAGGGCTCAAGGGTGAGTGTTTATAAATTTATAAAAGTGGAATAAATCATTTTGAATTTACTTTAATTCTCATTTTGTACTTTCAGACCCCTGACAAAGCCTTTTACACGAGAGGAGCGTTCAGAGAGTAGTGATGAGGATATTGATTACATGACTCCGTCCTCGCTCCCTGTACATACTCCACTCTGTGTTACCACCTCGTTGGATTCCAGTGTTTTGGTTCAGTCACAGGGCAGCCACAATGCAGAGTAAGGGAAATTTTATTTCAAGCATATTTATATTTAAGACTCCTGAGCTGCTAGAAAGCAAGTTCCTTAGTTGAATCTGGGCGACATTGATTGCAATCAGATTAATCTGTGGAAAAGGCTCATAAGAAACATTGCTGCCCCCTACAGCCCCTTTTGGAATGTACTTGTGTTTCATAAACAGTTCAGTTGAATATTCTTCGTCACATAAAAATCTTTGGTAGTAATATGAATGTGCTGTGCATCGTCTTTCTGAACAAAATGACAAATATTTGTTCATGAATGAAAAACTATTCTTAATGTCAATACCAACAACCATCGACCTGATGATGTATAAACTGAAACACAATTGAGAGATTCTTGTTATTGATTTTTCCCTTTTTGTTTCATTAGAGCTTTGTCTGATTCAGACCCATTGAAGCAGGTGTGCGAACTTATGTTTACATCATCGTCTCAGGCCACAAACATAGACTTTACAACTGGTAAGATGCTTCTTTATCTTTAGTGAGTCTTCTGTGTGTATAGTTTTTTTTGCTCCTTCCAAAAACCTTAGTGATCTTTTCTCTGTTATTTAACTGAACGTTTTAATCTCTTTATTATCTGTAGACAATGGTGACTGTGCTATCAATGATGGACCTGAACAAGGTGAGAGTGAAGATGAAGATAATGCATATGACTTCCCTAAACCGCCTGTGCCACTTCCTCCAGCACGTCGCACACTGTCTGATATCTCTCAAGCAAGTTCGGCATTTGCCAATGTGTCTGATCAAAATCTGCCTAGTCCCAACACAGGAGGTGAGTTTTTTTTTAATAATGCAATTTCAGGATGTGAAGGTCACCAGCATTTGTATTGTTTTCAATTTCTTGAAGACATGATGATCCGTCTCAAACCATTGCAGTCTGTTTGGTGAAAGTGCCAGCAAAGTGCTGTTAGATAAGGACTCCCAAGATGTTAACCCAGCAACAGTTTAAAAAAAAAAAAAAAAAATGACACTATAGTCCCAAGTCAAGTTGGTGTATAGCTTGGAGGGGAACTGTGCACTGGCGATGATGGGAATGAATATTCAGGGTGATGAATAGAATAGCTAGAAGGCGGAGTGCTTTGTCCTTGATGTTGTGAAGCTTCTTGAGCGTTATTGGAGCTGCACTCATCCAGGAAAGTGGGGAGTATTCCATCACAGTCTAGACTTGTGCCTTGTAGCTATTGCACTGGTTTTGTGGAGTCAGGAAAGGAGCTTCTCATTCCAAAATTCCTAGTCTCTGACCTATTCTTGTCACCACAATGTGGATATATCTGATCCAGTTCACTTTCTGGTCAATCATAATCCCCTGAGGTGTTGATGTTGGGGGATTCAGCAATGGTAATGCCATTGAATGTTAAGGAGAGATTGTTAGATAATTTATTGTTGGAGATGGTCATTATGTAACATTTGTATGATGTGAATGTTACTTGCAACTTACTAGCCCAAGTCTGAATATTGTCCATGTCACACTGTATGTGGGCATGTACTACTTCAATATCTGCACATGATTGGATTGGGATGGTCTTACATTTTGCCAGGACACACCTGCACAGTTTTCACTTGGTTCGGTTGATACCAGTGTTAAATCCCTACTGAATCAGCTTGGACAAAGAGGTGGCTAGTTCTGCCACACACATTTTGCAAGGGAACTTGTAGATGACAATATTGTCATGTGCCTGAAGCCTTGAAAGAAAAGCAAAACACTGCAGGTACTGGAAATTTGAAATACAACAGCAAATGCTGGAGAAACACAATAGGTCTGGCAGCATCTATGGAGAGAGAAAACAGAGTTAATGTTTCAAGTGCAATTACTCTTCTTCAGAACTCGTCAGTGATAAGAAACACTCAAAATACACAAAAGTGCAGAAAGAGAGGCTGCAGGGTTGGATGTGGGAAAAATGGGATCATTAAGGGGAGGTGATGGTGAGAGAGACAGAGGCTTCAAGGAGGGCATAAATAAATGTATCGATGAGAATGCAAAAGGAGAAATATAAAAAGCAGCCCAAAAACCAAATGTTAGCTCTCCATAAAATCTTAAGCCCAAATCCTTGGGCTGACTGAGCTATTGTTTTGTGCCCTGGCAATGACGAGAGAAAATTTTTGGGAGGTTCGTTGGTCATGCTTTTCAACTCATGGAAGGTGGTTAAGCTGCTAAATTGGAAGTAATTGTTATGGTGCAAACTGCCACTCAGCAACCTCATTCTAATTTTTATCCAGCTTTGGCGGATTCATTTCCTTCAGAGTTGATAATGGAATCGAACACCTTGTGATCAGCATACAATAGCCTTATTTCTGACCTAACGATGGAGGAAAGATAGATGAAGTAGTAGTTTAGGTCTTGGAAGGTGTTCTGAGGAACATCTATTCCCCTATCATTCCTTGCTGACTCACCAACATTGGCTCCTGGTTAAGCAATATCTTGATTTTAAAGTTCTCATCTTAAAATAAAAATCACTCCATGGCATTTTCATGCACACATCCTACCTCCCTCCCAATATATCTGTAATATCCAGTCTCTCACCCTTCGTGTCATTTGCATTCTTGTGTTTTTGGTTTCTTACATCATTGATGTTAATTCTTGGGTGCGGGATGCTAGTCATTGAACTGAAGGTCAGCATCAAAAAAAATTTAGAAAAAGGAAAGGAAGAAATCTGTGAAAACAAAGTTTTGTTTAATTTTATATTTCAAGGCTACCTATTTGAATGGAGTGCCAATATTGAATATTTTATGTGCTAGCAATGTCCAACATTGCAACATGGATGATGTGAGGGGCAGTTGCAACCTATAAACCAACAAGTGTCGGTACTTTAAAGTCAGCAAATAAAACAATTTTCAGATACTAGAAGAGAGATGTGATTTTGGATGATAATGCTGCCTGATCAACAGGTTTTCTTTTTTTTTCCAGATGCATCTGCACCTGAAAGACCTCCCAAGCCATTACCTCGGCGAATCAACTCAGAGCGTAAAGCTGGTCCTGGTCAGTCCAACAGCTGTCATAAGACACAGCAGCAGACTCTCTCCGCTGAGATCAACAGTCTCTTGAGCCAGGGCTACTCATATCAGGATATCCAGAAAGCATTGCTAATTGCTCAAAATAATGTGGAAATGGCAAAGAATATTCTTCGAGAGTTTGTGTCTGTCCCTTCCCCTGCACACATTGCAACATAGCCATCCCTTAGGACACTGCCTCCAGCTAGCCAGAGCTTGTGGTTAGTCTGATATAAGCCTTGGCTTGAGTGACAACGTGCCTCGTCTAACCCCCTCGCCTCATCAAATTGAATAATCAGGTCTGTGCAATTACTGAAATATAACAGGATGGTAGCACCCTGCCTCGTTTCCACTCCAACTGCAGGATTTTTGATGAAAGTTTATATATGAAGGTATTCTAAAGATGTCTGACATTTGACAAATTTACAATCTTAAGGGCACATACAAAGTAATTTTGCAATCCATGTAAAACTGATCCCAATTGATTAATTCATGCAGAATTATCAGAAATGTTTGACTATTATCTCTGGTTCTAGTTCCAAAAATATTCCAACATAGTGGATGTACCTTCATGAACAGATTTCAAAATTGTATTTTCCAAATTGGATCCCAAAGTTGAGAAATACACAGGCTGTATCATATTCAAACATTGTATTATTCAAAGTATGCAGTAACAGGCCTCTGTCTGCCTGTGGAAGTATTGTGTGAACAAAGTTGAAAACGTTAACAGTGAGTTGGGATTCAAAAGTTAGTTTCAGTATAAGGAGTAAAAGTAGACCCAGCTTCACTTGGTATTACTTATAAATTTGTGTCACTGGGATGTACAGCTACTGGTGTGGAATCAGGTTAGCACTTAAACCTTCCAGCCATTCAGAATAAACGTGTGGGTCTATTTTTGTACAAGCAGGAATCATTTGCACAGAATAAAATATAGTTAGAAAGTTGTATTTATACAGTACCTTGTGTACGTATGAAAGAGGAATTTAATGTGAAAAGTGAATCCCAATTTACACAGATCCAAAAGAGATGTTCAGTCTAATCATGCAAAGTTCATGCTGTAAATAAATCTGGAACAACAGAATGGGTCTTATTGTGCAATTCCAATTGATATATTCCCCATTTGAAATATTGTGCTTGGCATGAGGTTTGAGTGTAAAGTAAGGAGCAAATAAGAATGAAAAATGGGCAGATAACTGCATGTGATCAGTGCAACAATGATGCTGAGCAGATAGTAGAAGAGATTGTTATTTAATCCCAGCTGATCTCTGAGAGAAATCTCAATGTTAGTTTACCAAGAAAGAACCCTCTAGGTTAAAAATACTTGGTTTGTAATCATTGTATTACAATGCATTTAATCACACGATCATGAAGAAAGTCAGGAATTGTAAGTTGAGCCTTACACATGAAGTTCATCTTCCAAGAACATTAGCCCTATCCTACACTTGGCCATTTAGTCCCAAATGAAGATGTACTTGTAGTTTTCAATGTACTGCTCACTCATGGTAATTTCTAAGATATTTAGCACTGAGCTATGATTCTAATTCTACTGTCTATTTTAATATGAACAAGTAAATGAAAATTCTAATAGAAAAGCAAAATACTGCAGCTGCTTTAAGTACTCGGGTCAAGCAGCATCTTTGGAGGTGGGGACAGAAACAATATTGAAGTTTCAGATCAATGATTTTTCAACAGAACTGGTTTCATTGACCTGAAATATTCTCTGACTTGTGCTCTCTCTCCATGGAAGCTTGCAGTTATTCTGGGGTACTTAGAACATTTTCTTCTTTTTATTAATGAAGGAGTTATGTCAATATATTGTTGTCTGAGTTGACCGATTCACGTTGCTATTTGGATTGCAATTTGCCTGTTCCAAAATTGAATAGGGGCAATACCTGGGATGCTGCACTTGATCATAATAGTCTCTGGACAGAGGATGGGAAAAATCAGTTTCTGATTGCATTCCATTGAATCCTGCAAAAGAATGGGTGTGTGGATATACTTGGGTCGGTCACTGTGTGGCTGCACGTCTGGCTGTTGGCATGTGTCTATCTCTTTATGTTTGTTGCAGATGTTCTACGAGCAAAGGGTTGCACTTGCCCTATATAACCTTGCCCTCTTTGGTATAGTAGTCTGAGTTTGTCAGGCACTAGAGGGAGTCAGTGATTCAGGAGATGGCAAGTGGAAAAGAGGAAATGTGTGGTATTTTGAATCCGACTCAGTTTTACCTTTTGTCATTTACCTTGGTCTAGTTTTTTCTGTTCAAACTTCAGTGGTGTAATGTCTTGTACGTTGTGCTGTAGCTCCTGATATCAGGTTATGTGGCACCCTGATGAGGAGTACACATCACACACCATCCTTACTTGGAGATATATCACCATTTCTTTGCTGAGGCAGGGTTGAAATTCTTCTCTTTTCTTAAGTACTGTAGGTGTACCTGCACCACATGGACTGCAGTGATTCAAGAAAGTGGCTCACCATCATCTTAAAGGCAACTAGAGAGGGGCAATAAATGCTGGTCTTGCCAGCTTCACATTTCACACAAGAATTCTTAAAAAAAAAAAAGGTTTTGAATAGTTTTCATCAAGTTCAGAGATGTTAAAAGAATTTATTTCCTACAATGCTTTTTGTTCAAAACTTGTTAAAACTAAGTTAAAATAATTCAAACTGCTACAGCAGTCAAGTGATATTAACAGCAATATTACTGTTGCACTTTTAAATAATTTTCTTTCTTGCCCTATGCAAGCATTGATGTAAGAAGTAATATGGGTGCCATTTTCACTGCTGTTGTGATCAATAACCAGCAAATACAACTTGATATTACATTTACTGTGAAGTTCATGAAAGTATGTGACGGCAGATATTTATGAGGAAAGCATTTCTACCTGACAATATAGAATCACATAATAATACACCAGAGCAGGAGACTGTTTGGGCCAATGTGCCTGTGCCAGCTCTCTAGAAAATGTTATCCAATTAATTCCACACACCACTGTTTCTCAACCTTGTAAATTCTTTGACATTGTCAAAAGCACAATGATTTTATTTTTGTTTACGTTCTGCCCTATCATTATGTTTACAGATTTTAGCAGGATAGATCAGAAAATAAAATTAAAAATTGAAATTAAAAATTGTATAAGAAGTTTTTCAATTTCAGAGTTGCAAAAAATAAACATTTTTGAATGAAAATTCTGGAATAGATGTTGGAAAGGTTTTATTTTTTGTGTAAAGATATAGTATTCTAACTGCATAATCCTGTGATGCTATTTTTAACCCAAACTGTGGGCAGTTTTTTCATTAAAAGAGCCATTTTCATCAGTCTCTTAAATGCAAGCATGTGTGTTTGTGTACTGTAATGGAGACTGGAAAGTTGACTGTAGTCAACTATCCTTTTCCCAGTACTGTACGCATCTAAATATTCTGCCTGTTGTCTGGCAGAGTTGAACACTGGATGAATATGTGTATTAAGTTGACTTTGTTTTTAGTATAGATATTTGTGCTTTATCACAATTTTCTAACAGCTTAATTTAAGTTTATTCTTGTTTCAGCACAACTCAGTTTTCTAAACTATGTAATTAATTAAAAAAAGTCTTTATTTATAGGTTGTAATACTTTGATTATAACTTGGTTGTGGCTAACTTTACAGACATTTGTGAATTGCAAAGTTGCCTGGTGTATTCTGATGTTTTGTGCCATATTTGGGAATGTGTTTTGTTTGTGGGGGGTGGGGTGGGGGTGCAGAAATGGTAGTGGTTATTAGTTACGGAGTATAAATATCTAGTAACCAACTATGTTTTAATGTTTATTGTTATCTTAGTTACTCAGATTGGATCTGTTTGCTGTTGTGATCATTTGTACTTATTGGTCAATAGTTGGCATTAATAACTGGATTTTTTCATGTACCTGAAACACTGGCAAAAGCCTGTCAGTGTTGCACTTCAGTGTGACTGTAATTAAACATGATCCAAATTTAGAAATCTTTCATATGAATATAATTTTGTTAATGAAAGATATGCCATAACTTGGTTTCCTGGGAGGCACATAACTCATTAGATGAATAAGATTTTGAGTGATGTTGGCAACTTGCACAGTATTCAGGAAGATTTGTTGGACAGTGTTTGTATGAAGAGATTTCCATTTCCCGAAGGAAAGGATTATGAGTTTGTAGTTCCACTTGCCCTCCAGAGACGTGATTGCATGATGCAGTTGATCTTAGTTCTGAAAACCTCTGGCAGTAACCTTGTATTTAGTGTGTCATGTTTTATCCGATTAGTTCCACTCCTGTTCTTTCCCGAAAGCCTTGGGAATTCTTTGACATTGTCAAAGAGGCAAGTGCATTATTTGTATTTTTTAAAATATATTAATATTTTCCATCGCTCTGTGGCTTCAAGCAAATACAGTGAGGTAGGGAGCAAATAAAAGTAAAAGAAACCATGTGATTGTGCTCCTCGTGAGTGGACAAATTGATTGAACGTTCTCAGATAAATGAAATGCAGCTAGTCTTTGAGCTTTGTGTTTGATGTTTTAATTCAGAGTTCATATGTAAGCCTGATTACAATGGCAATGAGTAGCTGGAACACATATTACCCCACTACATGTTTATATACATCAGATCAATTGCTGTAGATGAGCAGTTTTTCTTCAGAGTAGTAATATGTTCATTTTCAAACAGAACAGGTGACTTGCTGGGTCATTTCTATTTTACATTGCCTTTGAGTTCAGAACTGTTGTGGAAATTGAATAGAAAATACAGTTTTCGGGGGTGGAAGGGGAGTAAAAAAAAAAAAAAGTCGCTTTTGTTTGATAATGTTAAATTTGCCAATTGATGAGTGCTTCCACCAATTGCAGGAAAGAGTTTAGAAAGCACTGATAATTTCATGGTTTGGTTTGGTTTGCTGTTTACTGCTGCTTGTTTTGTGTGAAGAAGGCACATTACTCAATGATGAATTGGTTTAAAAGTATACATTGTGTTTCAATTAAAATTAACTGAACTTTTTCTGAAATCACAATGTCTTGAAAGCTTGAGTTTAATTATATAATCAATGGACTTGACCAGATATGAGGGGTTTCAGAACATTCATTTTCAGGGAGAAAACAAAATGCTAGTAGTTTAAAACAACTTGCCCACACTTAGCAGGATGTGCTAACTTGAGTCTTATGAAATAGAATTGAGATATGATTATTCTAACTTCCTTCTCCCTAACCCCCTTCAGGATGAACAGAGGGTCAATCTTATAGATTCTTTCAGTTGATAATTTGTCAACATCACTTCTGGAATTCTTACCTTTTAATATCTTTCAAACAACGTCAAGGATATTCACTGCAACTTCAACTCATAAATTGTGATTCATTGCAGGTATAATTGACTCACCCTCCATTTAAACTTGTGTGAATCTTCTCCCGAGCGTTTTGGTAATCCAGGGTATATTGTATTGGAAAGGAATTTTGTATTTGAGGCTGAGGCTGCGCTTTGAAGGAAATGAAGTGTAATGCTGATTTCTGTTCATTGATGAAAGGCAGACCTGAGACCCCACTTAGCCAAATTAGTGGCATTAGCCACAGCAGATGCCAGATGTGACTTGTAGTTTATCTTTAAATGTGGTTCAAACCTGAGCCTTAATAATGCCACAGTTTACAAAGTAGCCATCTGATTTTACATACTAAACATAACGCCGGGTTGAAATTGAAGTTAGGAGTTCTAGTCCTAAGCTAATTAAAACCCAGCATTATTAATGCAAGATATTTCAGGTAATCAGGGTCATTTCTATATTTTATAAAAACATTTTAAAAAAAAATTAAACCTATGACTTCTGAATTTGTTGAATTTTCAATGATAGTTGTGCAGCCATTCTACCCAAGGCCTGGATTGGATGTTTCATTTTCTTGTCTCCCATTTTAGAAATGGGCGCCAAAATGTACTCATTCCAATCACCCCCTAGCACCCCTTATTTGAAAAGACGTTTAAATCTTAACAAAGAGAACATATATGTATTTTTATTGAACTTGTTGCTGTGTAGTGCAGTCATTTTGTTTCTTCTGTGCAGACTGGCATTAGTTGATCTCTTTGGCACTTAAGGAAGGGTTACGTTTAGTCAATGTGATGCAAAGTTTTCTCCATTTGGAGCTGCAGAAAGATTGCAGAACAGCAACAATGACAAAGGCCTCTTTCGAAGGAGGGAACAAGAGCCAGTCAATGTCTACAGTGAGTGTGACACAGAAATAAGTTAAAAGGTGACAACTTATGAATCAGATTATTTGCTTTGAACCAATTTAACTCCTCCTACTTCATGGAAAACATTTCCTGTAAAACAGGCATTTTTTCACTGCATCAGGACGAAATGATTTGTGTGGTTTGTTGGGTTTTGATTCTGATTAACACCTGAATCATTTCTTGGTGGTTCTTGTGCTCCCCAGTGATTGGATGTTTTCCAGTGAATAGCAGACTGAGAAATCATCTCATGAAGTTCAGGCTTGTATTATGTTAAGATTTATGTCATCACTCTGAAATACCTGGCTTCTCACAGCAAATTATTTTGAATTTGCACTGACTATTGATGAGCAAACGCACTAAGTAGCAATGAGATAAATTAGCAGTTAATTTCTCGCTGCTCTTCAGATTTTAACATCCACCAAACTGATCATCCAAATTGAGACCTCCTAGTTTGAATATTAGCTTGGAGTATGTGCTCGGATGTCTTGAATGAGGCTACCTCCTTAATTCTCTGAACCTGATATTAAAACTATCGACTAAACTAATCTAATCAATTTGCTAAATTTCACAGATAGACAGGCTGCAAGCCTGAGCTATGATAACAGAGTTTCATCGCGCAGCTTCTGTCAGTCAGCAGTCTCTAATGGTTGAGACAACTGAATCGTTCAACTCCTAGATTTTTTTAATTGGGACTAAGCAAACTGAATAAAGAAACCTGGACTAATTGAGTTACTGTCTGCAGGTATGATGAGGACAGCACCAATACGCCTTGAGTTGAAATTATTTAGAGTAACAGCTATTTTCTGCAAATTGAACACAGCACTGTGATTCATCTGTGAGGAGACACAAATACTTGACGGGCAAATTTTCAAAGTGAATATCCGGTTGTGCTCCAGTCTGGGTTAGCCATTGTGCTGGATTGATTGTGGTATGGCATAGTTCACAGTCTGGGTACTGATGAAGGTGGGTAAGGGAAAGAGGTGAATGGAGGCAGTACTACCATGTGATAGAAAGGCCTACACACATAAGGCACGATCAGAAAGTAGGAGACCCTGCTTTTAAAGGATCTCTTTGTTAACCCTTTTGAGAACTCAACAGCTTTCCAATATGCACTTGCTTTGCCTCATAATCTCTGAGAAAATGGTTTTCTGTAAATTTCATATGTTTAATGTGATAAATGTAGAAATGTACAGAACTGCAGGACGTTTAAGTCACGGTATTTTTTATTGAATACTGTAATCTTAAGATTTTAATTTTGATGAAAATGCTCCTATAAGAAATGAACTTCAATGCTTTTGATATAATGAAAGTTGAGACTCGCCATATTATAGGTCAGTTTTGGCGCCCATTTCGAGCAATGTGTCAGTTTCCTGAGATTTCAATTTGTTTTATTCTGCACTGATGTAGGATGATCTTTCACTTTGTTCAGGGTTTTTGTGCTTGCAATGTGTAATTGTTTTTTAAACTCCTAACCTCATTGCAGATTCTGGATGTTCTGTGCAATTAATTTATATTCATTTAAGTGCTCTCTTACTGTGTTGGTAAGTGTTTTAAGAAATAGCAAATGGAAAGTACTATTGTGAAATAATGTATTAAATATGTACTGAAATCACAAAGGCTTGTGTTTGGGCTTTTATTGAGAATCACAAATATTAATAGCAGCTCTAGAAAAGAACAACTTTGTTAAGGAAGTAAAACCTGTTGTGTGATGGAGATGATGGGGAAGAGGATCAACCAAGTGTGTTTCTGCTTTTATCTTTCATCTCTCATTTCTAATGAACAATTTTTCTTCACTTCTAGCCTGGAACTCATCTTCTTTTTCACCCCCTCTTTCTCTAAACAGATAGTCTTTCACCTCCAATTCCTCTACATTAACCTTTTATGCCTGTGTGTGCATGTCTCTTTCCCCCTCCCCTTTCCAGTCTCTTTCCCCCTCCCCTTTCCAGTCTCTTTCGTTAATGATGCTTTGATCATTAGCTTCTATGGTTTGTTTTGTTGCTTTCAAGCTATCTTGTTTGCAACCCAGCTTGTTATATTCAGTTTCAAGATGGTGACACTTTGCATCTAACATGCGAGAAACCACTTTTCATTGTATTTTTATATACACGTGACAATAAATGTAAGCCTAATCCCTATACTCACTATATTTATCAAGACTCCTATGTTAACACTCTTCCCTGCATATCATTCAGCTGTGTGATTGCATGACTGCTGTCTTTTTTTTTCACATCTTGATTAACTTCCACATTTGCAGGAAGTTCTATGCCTGAAATGTTAACTTTTCTCTTAATAGGTGCTGACAGATCTCTGTATTGCCAGCATTTATTTTTCAGATTTCCTGCATCTTCTGTTTTCCCCTTGAAATTTTAATGGACAGGTACTTAAGTTGTTAATGTGTCCATAGGCTTTCTGATTCATTTACAAGTTGAATGAGTTAATTGTAAAATTCTACAGAATCAACTGTTGTGTTTTATGGAAATAATTTTTTTATTACAAGTTTACATTCTCAGATTACAGTTTCAAGTGAATTCTGCCTTTATTTTACTTCAGGTATCTTGGCTGCGCAATTTGGATGGCACTTTATAATCGTGTGTTCACAGATTTTGGAATGAGAACAAAGGCTTCCTGACTTAGAATTCAAGTTGGCCATAGCATGTGGGTCTAATGTTAATTACAATGAACTGGTTCTTCTATCTACACAGATCATGAATGTGGTAGGATTTGTTGAACCATTAATATGGACAATATAATGCAAATATCCATTGAATGCATCCTGGTGAGTAGGTGTCCGATAGTTGGTTAAGTGATCTTTTCAAGCAGTTACAGATCTATTGGTTTCCCAGAGGGAAAAAAAATCCTGTGAAACTGACATAGAGAATTCTTCAAAGTAATATATGTTTCATTAACAGCTGGATCAGGGTTTGAGTAATTGGTGGGCTAGGCATAGAAAATAGGAGCAGGAGTAGGCAATTTAGCCCTTTTCATCTGCTCCACCATTCAAAATGATCATGGTTGAACCTCAAACTCAGTCCCCTCTCCCCACTTTCTCCCCATACCTTTGAAACCTTTAGTCCTGAGAACTTTATCTAACTCCTTCTAACAAATATTCAGTGTTTTTGATCTTACACTTTATGTGGCAGAGAATTCCTCAGGCTCACCACTCTGAGTGAAGAAATTTGTTTTATTTCATTCCTAAATGGCCTACACCATATCCTTAAACTGTGACTCCTGGACTCCCGGTCATCGGGAGCATCCTTCCTGCATTTGTATTGTCTCGTCTTGATAGAACTTTATAGGTTTAAGAGTGATGAAACTACATTTAATGATAGTCCTGATGATGAACAGCTCTTATGCACAATCTCCAGGTGTTATACTTGAATTTGTATGCCAGCGTTTCATTTGTGAATTAATTTGCAGCTGCCAGGGTTCAGTTAGAATTGCGTGGTTGATTGTTATAGCAGGAAAGGGATCAATACTATTTTGATTATTTGAGGTTGATGTTTGTATTTAGCATTCTTAAATCGGTTTTAAGCTATAATCAAGAAGATTGTTGTGGCATTCCATTAAAGAAGTGTTCTTTCACTGATATCTGTAGAACCTCTGGGGCTTGCTTTTTTAAGTATT